TCTTTGATCTAAAGAAGGCAATTTATGATCATAATTCAATTTGATTTGTTTATCTTTCAATAAAATATCGAAGATTTTATTTGTTTTTGTTACATCGAAAGTATATGTTCGATTCGTCATTTTGTCTTTTACCTCGTTTTTCTGCAGCAGTTTACAAATATATGGAGCTCCTACTTTGAGCTCTGCTATGTTTACTTTCTCATCGATAGATTCTTCATTTTCTACTTCTGTCTTGGGATTTTCTTCGTATATGTCGTTTATGTACGCTACCCTATCTTTCTTCATAGGTTTCTCAAATTTCTTGTATCTTTCCTTCTCATACTCGATTTGTTCCACTCTTCTTACTTTATCGGCTAATTGAGTCATGTCATTCAATGGTAAATTAACCAATTTTTTCCTAATCGAGAATTCTAAACCAGCAGAGGTCATTCTGACCAATTCAAATTCGGGAATCTGAGTAAAACATCTCGATTTTATTTGTTTAAATCAATTCAAATAATCATCTATACTCTCATGATTATATCTTTTTATATTCATTAAGTCGATAAGACTTACTTGAGTCTCTCCCCTAAAAAATTGCTCATGAAAATTCATTTCCAACTGCAGCCAATTATATATCGAGTTAGGTGGCAAAGTGGTAAACCAAGTGAAGGCATTCTTTGTTAATGAACTAGGGAAGTATTTCATTTTTAATTCCTCATTCATAGCTATATCTCCACATTCGATTTGATATCGTGTCACATGCTCGATAGTGGATTCACCGATTTCTCTGGAAAATTTGGTGAACTTGGGTACTTTATACCCTCGAGGTAATTCTGTCTCTAGAATCGTATTTGGAAAAGGAGAAACAAAGTACGGTTGGTCAAGTGGTCTTAATTCCACTCATTGGGGATTCATCCTTTGTCCCAACACATGATTGTACTGCATATTATTTTGATTATACATATTTTGAAACCCCCCATTTAAATTTCCGTGAGCATCATTTCTCACATGCTGATATTGATCAGCATTTCGATTTCTCCTTAATAAATAAGGGGGATTAATATTGATGTTTCAGTTATTATCTTGATTGACATTATGTTCGACCCTCGTTTGTCGAGGTATTGTCAATGCATCCCCGATACGTGTCATTTGATCTGCTAATATCTCAAAACTATTAGTAGTGTTTTGAATTAATGGGTTTAATATTGTAGTCAACTGTTGTGACTGTTGAAACATACAAGGATATGAATGTTGAACATACATGGATATGAAGCTTGTAGATTTTGATGATGATTCAAGAACAAAGGACTTAAAGATTTGAAGACTTGTAATATTATGTAATAACTCTGTTTTTATGATTTTGAGTCTATAATATTAAAGTCCAAGATAGCCAACACATATTCTACTCTTTAAAGGTTCTAAAAACTCATTTTTATCAAAAACATACTGGATTAATCGATTAAATGGTAGGATAATCGATTATTACAGAGAGAAAAACCATTTTCAGCATCTGCTCTCTGGAATAATCGATTAAAGCCTCTGTTAATTGATTAACAGGGCTGTTAATCGATTAAATGCTCAGTTAATCGATTAAATTGAGCTGTTTTGGAGTCCCTGCTAATTTGGCTTTGGAATAATTGATTAACACTCAAGATAATCGATTATTTCAGTCAAATATGTGTTTTGAACTTCAAAATTGGACCAAGTTTCGAAAACCCTATTTCCAATTCATTTATTTTCGAAAATCTCCAATTCCCAAACCCTAATCTTTCTACTTAAGGTTCTCTAAGACTCTCTGCAAACTGAACAACCTTTTCAAACAAAAGTTGAGAGTTGTGACTACCAGAGAACTGTTTGTTGGAGGAAAAAGGGGTTTTTGAAACCTAGTGTGGGCTAGAAGCGATAAGAATCACTGAGTGGGTTTTCTTAGTGGATTGTGTGTTATGCCGTCTCTAGGGAAATCTGTTCTTCATCCTTTGTGGATTCAAAAGAGGTGTTCATCTCTTGTGTGACTCAAGAGAGGTGTATTCTTTACCTTATCTTCTTATTTGTAATCTGATTGTATAACTGTGATTATAGTGACAACGTTAATCCTCTGTTTGAGTGATTAGAAACTGGACGTAGGGTCTTTTGATCCGAACCAGTATAAATCGGCTGTGTAATACTCTATCCTTGCTCTATTTACTTTACACAACATTTTAATCGGTGAATTTTTGGAAAAATTTTAAAACCCTAATTTTTGTTAAGAAACCAATTCACCCCCCTCTTGGTTTTTGTCCGAAAACGCAAACATTCCACTGCGCGATTCTAGCAAGTGGTATCAGAGCTTGCTTTGATAGTCATCAATTTTCGAAAATGGCCAGACAAAATCAAACGTTTGTCGAGGGTGCTTTTATCAATAGACCCCCACTTTTTGCGGGGCAAAATTATCCCTTTTGGAAAGTTAGAATGCAAATATTTTTAGAGTCTGTTGATAAAGGTGTTTGGGATGCAATTTTAAACGGTCCTTTTATTCCTAAAATTTCTGAAAACGGAGTAGAAGTATCAAAACCATTTTTTAGATGGACGGCTGAAGAAAATAGGAAAACCCAATATGATGTTAGGGCTAGAAATATTATTTCATCTGCTTTAACCCTTGATGAGTTTTACAGGATCTTTGTTTGTAAAAGTGCTCAAGAAATGTGGGAAATGTTAAGAGTAACCCACGAAGGTACCGATGATGTTAGTTACTCTTTTAGTTGTATCTCTCTACTATAAATAGACCACCCTATGTGTGATTTATACACAAGGGAAATTAATTCCAAACCCTATTTTCTCTATATTTAACATGGTATCAGAGCCAAAAGCCTAACATCTTTCCGGTTATTGTCATGGGCCAAAAGGTTGCCCTTTAGTTGGGTCAAAAGTACCATTTGCCTGGTCCGGCAGACTTCGTTGGAAGGGGTGTGTTGAAAGTCCTACATCGCCTACCTCATGTCATTTGGTATGGTTTAAATACATGTTAGACTACTCCACATATTGCCAATTGGTTTTATGTTGGAACCTTAACACAGTTTTTCAATAAAAAAATGTATGTAAATCAAGAATATAAAAATATCGAGCAAAATAGATGAAACCAAGCGCATATATTAGAAATACAGAAAGCGTGATAAAGCATACATATTGAAATCGAAAGTTCTCTTTTGTATTTTTTTTATTAAAAGACTTGAGAATATGAAATTTAACAGAAGTAAAGAAAACAGTAAAAAGACATCGAGGCAGCAAAGTAATACAGAAAATTAAATTGCACTAAGAGTAAATGACATAAATTAAAGTGCGCATAAAAATAATCGACATCACTGGACGGTAAATTAAAAGTGCAAGTAGATAAATTACCGGGAAAGTAAAGAAAAGGTTAAAACTATTGAGATAAAGATGTAATGCAGAATCTTAAGATTGCATAACATGTAAAGGGCAATGAAATTGAAATAACATGAAAATAAAGGCACGTAAAATTAGATTGCATTAAAGATAAAGTATCAGGGAAAGTAAAGAAAGCGGTAACAACAGTCAATGAAAATGGAAATCCAGATCGTCAGAAACTTTATGATTCGTCGTTCTCCGGTAAACTCGTTCACTTGTGCTTCTGTTCTCTCTGCCAATTTCTTTTTCCGTCTTCATGCTTCACTCTATTTATAGATGTTCTTTAAGGTAATTTCCTACGAGTGGTTAAAAAATCGCTACCACGTTTTATGTGCACGTTAACTCTCCCTTGATTTCCATCTTAGCCACGGTTTAAAAAAACCGCTTTCCATGTTCTATGTGTGTGTTAACCGTTCCCTCGATCTCGACCTCAACCATCGAGTATTTTAAACTGCTTCTGACTTCCCACTTAATCTCACACTCAATACCTATAATCGATTTTTTACCTCCTCGATCATGTCCATCGAATTGCCTTTGTTCTTCTTTCGATTCAGATTCTCGATTTTCCTCAGCAATAATCATCGAATTCTCTCTTTCGATTTTCGATTCAGATTTTCAATTTTTTTCCCACCAACAGAAATATATCTTAAACTAAACCAGTTTTTTCACTTGTCTCGGTAACATTAGGTTAAACTGGGTGTAGGGTGGACAACTTTAGATAAAATATTAAGATCCTAATGTTATTTTCTTTAATAGTAATAGTCTAAAATATTTCTAATTTTTTATATATATATATATATATATATATATATATATAATTTTAATTTTTTTGAAATATTTATTTGAATGTAATTTTAAAAATTTAATTTTTTTGTACTTGTATCAAAAACTGAAATGTCGAAAGATGATTTCGATTAACCATATTATTTATTAGAGTAAATAGATAAACAATGTTTTCATTTCGTTTTTAGTATATTAAAAAACTCATTAGTATTCCACAATGCCAATAAAATAAATTATTTATTTGATTCTGAGGAAGACGTACCTGGAAAACGTACCATTGCTTGCTGGTGGCCGCAAAAACTTTGAATTCATTCGCATTTCTTTGTAAACTAAATTTGAAATGAGTGGACCTCAGCAAAACCAGTATGAAGAAAGAGCATCACCCAACCCATTAAATTTCGGAGATAGCAAGAAACAAAACAGAACCCTAAGTAATTACAAACAACTATTTATTCTTCTATATTTGTGTAATTAATTTATAAGGATAGGAAGAAAGAATGGTGCAGCTAAATGAAATTGAAACAATTTAAACCTAAATTGGTCTTGCACCTTGATAAGGGATCAACTTAGAAGAAAGGAAAATTAAAACAATAAGGACCTGAGAAGAAAATGAATCAGAAGCACTCTAAAAACTTGATTTATTCAGTAGGGATACCTCATTCATTCCAACTAAGTTACTATTTCAGTTGCATCAGAATCATAATACATGCATAGAATCATACAGAAGTATATATGATGATGGGAAAATAATTACATGGGAAAGTTATGTCCCTCCCTCTCTCTATATGATTCTATCTCTCTCTCTCTCTCTCTCTCTATCTATATATATATATTCAAAGGTCACCTCCTGAATCTTGCCAGCAAACAAGCATGGCAACACACTTTCTGAAGATATAGAATCTTGCTCTTTGCTCATTAACCAGTTTACTGCATCTCTGTGCAAAGGACTTGAAAGGGTCAAAGAGATGGCCAATGCAGCAGTTGGTGACTTTGTTCTTCATCTCTCGTAGTGGTGCTTCCTTGAGGATGATTCTGTGGCTTTGTGTGAAGAGTAGTCTCAAGTAGTGTTGGTTTTGCCAGAGTGGATTGGTGGTGACATGAATGAGAAGAAAGAAAGAGGAAGTTTTGGTGGAGAGGTGCAGATTGTAGGAGGCTATAGTTTGGTGGTTGAAGAAAGCTTTATATGTGATGATTTATAAACATAACGTACCAGTGAATCTGAATTATTTTTTGTTACACTGTGTCCTACAGTTAGTACTCCTGTCTTGTCTTACACAAATATAGGTTATGCCCTTTTCATTATTATTTCAATTTAACTATTATAGTACTAGTTAAATTGTTGTAAATTAATATAGATTATCATTATAAATAGTTGTATCAAATAAATCAAGAAATCAAGGTTCATTCAATATAATTTATTTTGCAGAGGGTCAAATTTTCCTGAACTTGGTATTACAGAATACTGATATATATTTTATGTCATTGTAGTACAAAGGTTAAATTCAAATATCTCTAAAGAATGAACAAAATGATAGAATGAATTTAAAAAAACGAAACAGAACTTAACCAAATTTAGAAAGAATGAAAAGATATATGTAACGGTTACATTACACCCTGTACGTAAACTGCTTCTTGTTCAAAACATGTTTTCTTTATATCTGGTTTTTTGATGGAAAAGGTGTTGCTGCATTAACATTTATACAAAAGAAGTTATTGTGACGTGTAAATATGAGGTCTATATATGTCACATCATCACCTATCACGATCAAATCATCAACAATTTCTGCTTACTTATCACCATTTGTCACCACCAATAGACTGTGGTTGTGAATCAGTATAGTACACTACAGTGATTATTACGTTGATCACAGCAACAAGTTTTCTGAATAAGGTAATCCCTTGTTATATTCAGTTCACAGAGATCAATATAGTGGCTAGGGATGTTGTAAGAAATTTCCTAAATTGTTATTATTGACAAAACTTGTCATCACTGTGCATGAGAATATCATTTCGTTGAAGAAGATTGCCATTATAGCCCTGAACATCACAATGTCGGTGTTTTTCTGCAGGTAATTAGAATTAATCTTAATATTTATATACAGACATTTATTCAAACATGTCAGCATATTTTTACATGACAACATTAATAAATTATAACTTTAGTTTCTTTTAAAATACATTCAGAATATTTTTCTGAAGAAAGTGTATCTTAACTAATATTTATAATTATGAATTATATATTAATTAAATGATATTTAATATGATATTAGAGAGTGATATTTTTTATATTTAAAAGTCTCATAATATATCAAGAGGATAGGATCATAATAGATTTATTTTTTATTATCTGATATTTAAAATAATATTTTTTTAATAATTAAATTATAAAGAAATAAATATAAATATGAACTAATAATCAATAATTAACTATTTCTTATACATAAAAAATAAATTCTAAATCATAAACTCATCGTTCCCATAATCATAATGCTTTACGTCTCGACACGTTGGTCTTGAATATGCATATTTTTCTCTCTCTAATGTTTTGAGAAAAAAATATATTCTTAAAATTTTTATGTATAAAAACATTATGAAAATTTCGAAATTTTAAATTTCTGGAATAACATTCCGAAATATATTTTAAATTGTTTCAGAAATATTATTATCTAATTATAATTCTTATTATGGGAGAATCCGGAAAAAATGATTTGAGATAATTAAAAAATAGTTTTGGATTAATTATTTTGGAATGTATTGTGAAATATTTATTTTAAAATATATTTTTATGATTTTTTGCAACGTGTTATCCAATTTTTTTAATACACTTTAGGTAAGAAATTAAAAATATTATTTTCGTTATTTCATGTAATGGAATGTGCAGAAAAATTACAAGTGCGAAATGTTACACATATTAAGAATGAAGGAGACAAGAAATGATGACATAAAATTTATAAATAGAAAGGATTAAGAATAAAACATTTACTTAGTGTAGGGTTGAAGTAATGTATAGAGTAATTTTAAGATAATGAAGAATTCTAAGTAGCATTGGGACAATTAATGGACAATGCTAAGTAAGTATGTCACAATGCTGTCTCCCTACATATTGACTCTTTTTTTTTCTTTTAAATAATTAATTAACATTACTACAAATAATTGGAAAATGATCTTCTTCCAAAGGAGAAAAGGGAAATAATTGAGTCCCTAGTAGTTTATAAAATATATTTTATAAACTATTTATTCACAGTTTTAAATATCTAAAATAAAACCGTGAATAGTTTATAAAATATATTTTTAAGTGAATAAACTAAAATTTAAAATAGACTTGTGTATATACATATATTTACTTCTAAATTTCTATCTTAATTATTAATTAAAATAAATATTATGAATTCTTTTAAATAATTTGACATATTAATAATAAATAATCTCATTGGTTTTGAAATATATTTTACTTTTCGCATTATTGTAATATTTAATGTCATTATAATATTTAGTATAAATGTTGCGTATAAATTATTCATTACATTTTAATTTATCTATGTTTAATATTTAATATTTAATTCTATTGTTATTATTATAAAATATTCTGTTGCTGCCGCAATTTAGAACCATGATTTCCTATCATTCCCGTCTCATCCATATTATTTCATCGCAGCTATTCGGTTCTGTAGGTGAGGCTGCAGATTCAAAGCTATGAGTCCATTTTGTAAAATATAAATCACCGATTTCATCCTCAAAATAAACCATTCTTTCATCTTAAAACTTACTCTTCACCTAAGTGGTCTTAGAATTAATAAAATTATTTATACCCTGAAAATTTAAATAGTCATCATTCTAGTCCTGAAGTTGATATATTTCAGTAATGTTCAGGAACTAATTTTCAAGGGTTTTCAAATATTTGGAAGAATACTTAGCATGATTTTATTTTAAAATTTATGGACCACTTAGGAGAGTTAGTAATGCTTCAAGGATGAAATTAGTAATTTACACTTTTTTGTACAAGTAAACCAGGCTCAATCGTCCAAACTGAGCTAACTAGCGCCACTAGCAGATCAAGTTAATTTGTTGAGTTGGGACAAAAGTTTCTGTCCAGGTAAAACAAATTGATACATTTGTCAACATAGGAGAAATTGAGATTCCTGTTATCAATAAGATTGACAGAAAAAAGTTCAACAGCACAGCAGTTTCATAAACTGCCGAATTGAGTGATAGAGGAACTGAGTTCAAAATCACACAAATTTGAAGAGTACAGAAAAGTTGCACCAATCACTTCAGTAGTTAGGGTTAGACAAACAAATTGATTCTAACCCTTGGAAAGTGGGTTTTCTTTTTTTTATTTTTTAATTCTATTGAAAATAGAATTCTTTTTTATGGAATGAAACTATGCAACTTTTAGAAAGTTTGGCTGCATAGTTTAATAGTTAGGTGATTTAGCTGCAAGAATAGGCGCTTCACCTCTTATCTCCTTCACATAGGAGACGTATTCACTATAGTGCATGGTAAATAAGGTGCTTTGGTATCTGGTTAGCTGTAATTGCATCCTAAGTTCATCGGTTATTGGACCATTGTACCCTGCTTTACGTATCAAAGAATCAATGGCCTCTGTTTTTGTCCAACCTGAAAGCAAAGCAAAAAAGAAAAACAAGGAATACATGCTCATTTCCACCCTTTTCTACCATATATTAATGAAAAGAATTCCAGAAGACAATCGTTACAAGATCACCATACAGTTAGCAAAAATATAAGAAACAGGCATAAGCCCAAAAGTACAACATCGCCAGAAGTTGGACACCTTAAACGGTTATTATGCAGATTAAATTGTTACAGGTGCAACACTGCTAGTTGCTCTCTCATAAATGTCATTATGGATCATATTGTCTACAGAATATATGAAAATATATAAAAGTATCTTATGGCATCTTTGGTTATTCTTTAAGATAAGTTTCCTAATTCCTTGCTGCATCTTATTGTTTATCATACTTCTTTATCTCATCATTCACGAATCACTTCCCTAATTAGATAAGATTATGATTAGTATAAAAAAGAATTATTGGTCTATGTTTCTGCTGTTATAACTATTTGGTTCTCTCTAATGTATTGCTTCTGTTACTGGGTATATCGTTTCTTCCTTATCATGAACTTTCTTTCCTTTCTTTCTGATGAATTTTAGAAAGACGGGTGTGGAGGAAGGAACACACGACAACTTTTATCTGTGCCATCTCAATTTGGTTACTCAGATGTCATTTCCAAAAATGTAAAACAATATTCAACAGAAAACATAAGTTACCTTCATTGGCAGCCACTTCAGGCAGGTATGTGGCACTACGCCTTGTGCTATAGACAGGATCGGAAAATTCAATAATTATACCATGCTTTTCTATCTGCAAGAAAGAAACTGAAAGTCTAGAAGTGCAAAAGAAAGTATGAATGCAATAGTGTCCTAGACCGACTTAATATTTTATAGCACTTAACATTTTACATTATCTTGAAAGTCAGTATTATCCGTGTATTTGAAAGACTGGACATATAATTAAAAAACTCATGCAAACAACTGATTTAGCTCCACATTACATTGATAGAACAAGTAACAGTATATATCATCACCCACAGAATCCCAGAAAATAAATAAAATGTAATGTAAGTATTAACAGAATTAGTGCACTACTTTTCTTCAAGAACAGAAATGTAAAATAATCTTTACCGTGTTAAAGTTCAGAATGAGTTTACATTAGTACACTGTTGCCAGACTACTTAAGGATTGAGGCCAAGCACCTTTCCAATGGTACCAATGTTGTCCTTTTAAGAAAAGCATATTGATCACCTAGTCGTCAATGCAAACATGGAATATAATAAACACATACGTGGTTCTCCATCAGTCCACTATAGGTTCCTTGCAATATACCACTCTCAAAAGACACGAGATTAGTTACAGGCATGAACAAGGTCTATCCATTCTTTAACAGCCCTTGAGGAGAATTCAAAAGTTGTAAATTGTGTCCGAAAGATACCTTACAGGTACACATGGGACTAGAACTTTTTTATGTCCAAGCGATGGTCATCAACATGAATCCCACTGTTTCACATAACAGCTCAAATAACCTAACGATGTTCTCACTATGGCTCGTTCAGCAGAATGGTTTTGTTAGTTACGTGACAAATTTAGTGCCTGCAACCAATTTTTATTATCCCATTCTCATTGTGTTACAGGAATATTATAGCAACTGCTAAAGATATTTAGTTACAATTCTATTGTATTATTCATGAGTAAAAACAGAACCCTTCCTCCTTAAAAATTATATGAAGAATAGCAAAATCCATCATCGCTTTAAAACTCGTACATCCACATCTTTTACACCTAGCATCATAACAAATTTGAAACAATTACAGCATCCAGTTTTTGGTTACAATAACCAAGGCAAGAGGAGTCACTACACCAACCAGGAAATATTTACACAAACTCTTAATAGAACACAAGACTTCTTCACAAAGTTTACATACAACCAGATTTATAATCCAAATACATAGTTCTTAAATACAAAAGGTGTTATGTTAGATCTGTTATCCACGTATAGACTAGCAAGAAGAATAACATGAGAAAGGAAAGGGTAGGGAGAACAATGATGAACAAGAGTAATATAAAATTAGATTTATTTTGTTATAACATAAATGTTTCAAGTTTGAATGTGTAGAAATCGGGATTATAAAAGCATAATAAAAAAAGATAAGGGAGTTTGTTATTGGTGAGTTAATTAAATGTAGAGAGGAAAGCTAAGAAAAAGGGAGGAGAGGATTTGAGTTAGAATGGAGGTTTCAGCCTTCTGAAGTGCTGCTTGTACAAGATTTCCATTGTTTTCTACTCCATTACCCATTCCTGGTATTTATCTACCTAACAGTGGCAGAAAGGGGATTTGTCTATCATAAATTCAATATTCATTCTCATTAATTGATTACAAAATGTCAGAAGTTGTATATATATCAGAAGTACTACCCAAACTACCACCAGGGAAAATCCAAGCTGAAGGCTTATTCATAGCTATGCAATGATGTCAGTAGCGGATAGTGAAAAATCTCAAAAAGCTTCAATATATAGCAGACAGTGTCGTAGGCGAATAGCAGAAACCACATAGTAGGGAAAATTTTAAATATGGAAAAGTTGGGATAAAATAAAGAGAAAGGGAAAAAGAGGAAAACATTAAAGAAGGGAAGATTTAAGAACAGAGAGAACAACAAGTAAAAATGAGTACTATTAGCTGTAAAAACAGAGGTGCTGCTGGACTGGAGGAGAATGGATTTTTAAAATTTCGGGAGAAGGTTTATGTGCTGTTTAAGTTATAGAGGAAGAAAGAAATTTAAGTGGTAGAGTGAGACTCATCAATTGCATGGCATGGAAATAAAAAGGATAAGGTTGGGCTTATTCTAAAAGTAAGGAAGCCCAAGTCAATCAGCAAACAAAAGTAAACAATGAATAGAATAAAAAACAAAAGAGACCATTAAACAAAAGCACTCAACTTTTATTTTTTTAAAATCCCAAGAGTCTTAATGTATGGCAGCACGTGAGATTTTTAACTGTGTGACAATTTCAAACACAATCTATTCATAGGGCACAATTTCCATGGAACCCAGAAGAGCCCAAACCGCAACCTATCCTCTCATTTTGTTTTTGCACACGTGAAACCAAAATGCCCACCCAACCCATGCACCAAGACTTCCCTCCGCAGATGGCTGAAACCTCATCTGTGATGCAAGATCCACGACAAGCATCCATGAGGAGCAAGGCATCCTACGAGGCCTGCTACACAATAGTGTTATTGCACTGCAATAACCAATATTTAGCAACACTGCTAAATAGTTCCAGAAACATACTTGTCAACTTTAGTAATCTCATCTGACTGATAGATATTACATTACATACCTATTTATAGATTTGCCATCTACTTCAAATTATTAATCAACATTAGATGTCAGAGTTTATAAGACAAATTAACACTATTCCAAAATGTGACCACAGGGTAAATAACTTATCTACAGTTGCATCCTACCATCAATAGCCCAGAAACTAAAACAAGCAAATCAGCACATACCTCCCAATCTAGGTAATTGTTAGCAGTTTCATAGTCAGTAAGAATAGACACTGTACACTCCAAAAACGGCAGCTCATTGGCCTGTATGGGTGGAAACCTTCGGTCCCTGAGGGCACTGCAAGATGTTGCAAGCACAGAGCACAGTAACATGAGTAATATATATTGATAATGCAAGTATGAGGAATAATATAATCAGTTCAAATAAATGCAAGCAAGTGGCATTTGCGTCAACAAAACAAGAGATACCTGGTCAGTGCATAATCTTTCAGCCCATTGATCAAGCTGCGTGCTTCAAGAGTTCCAATGCATCCCCGAAGACGAGGATCTCCACCATTCACCACTTTCTTCCATGTAACAAACAATGGGCTAAAACAAAACATATTTGCTTCAACCAAGGACACCATATAATATCAAATTGTCAACTCAAAAGTAGATCTTTTGGGTAAAAGGATACCCCCAAAAATCAAGGATTAATCACTTTCAAGGCTGTTAAGGTTCCAACATAAAACCAATTGGCAATATGTGGAGTAGCCTAACATGTATTTAAATCATACCAAATGATATGAGGTAGGCGATGTGGGACTTTCAACACACCCCCTCCAACGAAGCCTGTCGGACCAGGCAAAGGGTACTTTTGACCCAACTAAAGGGCAACTTTTGGCCCATGACAATAACCGGAAAGATGTTAGGCTTTGGCTCTGATACCATGTTAAGGTTCCAACATAAAACCAATTGGCAATATGTGGAGTAGCGTAACATGTATTTAAACCATACCAAATGATATGAGGTAGGCGATGTGGGACTTTCAACAAAGGCAAAGAAATTGCCTAACTGAGTACATCTTCCAAGAAATCTTTGTCCATAACACAACTCAGGTATAAATTATGTCTTAACTAAATAGAAAACAATTATTTTCTTTCTATAAACCAAAGACGCAATCTTACTTCTCCCATTTCAAATTCCCAAAACAGGTTCTGTTTGGATAAAATTTCCCTATAAACACTTGAGCAATTTATCTAAACAGGTTCTTTAAACTCCTTATTTTCTGCCTACAGAGAAATTTATCTAAACATCTTATTTTTGAGCAAATTCCCATTGCAGAATCACTTAATCAAGCAAAAATTTAAAAACTTTCACCAACATCACAAAATTTAATCTCATACAAAAAAAAAAACAATTATCAAAAAGTGTTCTTCACATTTACAGAAAAAAAGAGAGTATATTATATCAATATAGAAAAATTAAAAATTTCAGTTATTTGTTAAAAAAAAAAAAAAGAGAGATAGGAATTACTGTTGAGCCTGATCGAAGGAAGGAGGAGGAGCTTCCTGGCTGTTGTAGTGAGCGACGAGGGTGTCGAAGCAGTAAACAACCATCTCCTGGTTCGCCGACACCATTTTTGTGGTTATCAGATAAAGGGTCCTGTTGATTCCTTATGTAATTGAAATCAATAATCGGTGGGTGCTTGGAATATTAGGTCTGAATGAAATAAACAAAGCAGAGAGAAGAAAAGAAGCTTCTCCTTTTTCTCTCTCCCGGTTTCTTGCTTGCAAGCAACAAGCACTTCAAATAAATTAAATGAAAAAAATATTCAACCTTTCTAACTTTCTTAAATTCTACACTAAATTATTCAAATCATTATATCTTTTACCTACATTTTATTATTCTTTCATAACATAAAAAGGAAAACTGATAAAAAATACACCTACTGTTAAATCCACCCTAAATAATTAAATTTTATAAAAAAAATTATCAAATATTTCTCCCTTCTATATCCATTTATGTGATAGCATCACCATTAACATTTTTGTCAAACAGACTCCAAATCATCCTAAATAAATATTTTCAAATAAAAAACAAAAAGAAAAAATCACTAATATTATAATAACAAATATATTATATTTGTTATTATAATTTTACAACATTAATTTTCAATTTTACGTTTTCTTGAAGCAAAATATATTTAATTTTTATCCTCGTACAAACAAAATATCACAGGTAATAAAATCATCATCATAAATTATTACACCATACCTAGATAAGGTGAAGAAAGGGAAAAATAAAAAGGAAAATAAAAAATATAGACGATCAAAAAGATGAAAAATAACAATAAAAAGGAAGATAGAAGGAAAAAAATAAAATAAAAAGCAACAAAAGGATTGGTAATTACCATCTTTATTATTATTTTGATAATTGGATTCATCTGGTCTAATAGGAGTTGATTTAAAAATTGAATATTATTTTTAAATAATTAAATTTTAATTAAATTGTGATAAAATCTAAAAATCAATACAAAATTGAAAAATTTAATTAGGTTTTTCATCGAATCAATTTTGAAAAAAAATTAAAATTATTTTTTTATAACTTTTTATAAAACAATTTTAATATTTTTTATTTTTATTTTTATTTTATATTAGTTATTTTAATTTTAAATAATTATTATTATATTTCGTTGTTACGATGTATTTTATATTTTCTAATTTTTATTTATAATTTTTATTGTAATTTATTATGATTATGATATTAATCTTTATTATATTATAAAAATATTATTTTATTAAATTTAATTAGATTTCGTTAAATTTTAAAATCCTTATGTTTTCATTATTTGATTCAATTGTAAAAGTATTGATTTTTAGTGAATTAGAAGAAAATCTAACAAAATTAATTTTAAAATATAAAGATATATTAGAATATTAATATCAACTAGAGTTTTCATAAAATAATAAATTAATTATCATGTAAGGAGAAAAAGAAAAATTAAGGAATATTTTGATTAGTGGAGGGATAAAAGAAGTTTATAAAAAAAAAAAAAGTACAAGCATAAGACACAATAATAAATAATAAAGAATATAACTAACTAACTTGTTAGCAAGATATTCATGATTCTTCAATTTAGTTTAGTTCACTCCATCTTCAAAAATGTAAATAAATGTCTTATTTTTTAAATAAAAATATCAATTGAAAAATCTTTCCAAACAACCCAAGTACAACTTCATCTATTAATAAAATAATATTTGTTTTGAGTAATTTATTTCAATTGAATCATTATATGATTATAATATTAATAAAATAAATTATAGATTAAATGTTTGTTAAAGAATGATTGTGTGAATATAACTACATTTTTTAAATTGATTTTGAATTTTGAGATGTTTAGAAAGTAAACAAAATTCAAATAAAATTTGAAGGATAAAAAATTATTAATCTTTTAGAGTTAAAGGAAGAAATATTGGGTAGAAATTAGAATAGGAAACCCTGGTGCGCATATGCATGGGTAACAACAGCTTTAATGGCAGAAGAAAAATCAGTTGTAACGGTTAGACTGAGATGGTTCTATATATATAAAAGGTTAGGATCCATGAACAACAAAGCAAACTAATGGATAGAGAAAATCAAGAGCGTGATGCGATGAGTGAAAGCAAGAAGAATATGGATGGATCAAGAGATGAGAAGGAGAAGCAAAATAACTGGACCTGGTCACAAAACAAGGCCTTTGAGGAAGCCCTAGCCACTGTGCCGGAAAATGACAATATGCGGTGGCAGAAAATCGCCGCTCAAGTTCCCGGCAAGTCACCGGCAGATATCATGGAGCACTACCAGAAACTGCTCCAAGATGTGGCGGATATTCAATCGGGTCGTGTCGGACTTCCCGACACAGGTGACTACATCCTAAAGACTCAGTTTTTCATTTCTTTAAATTTTATTACACGTACGTTTCTTTTTCCCTGTGTTTGATTGAAAAGAAACTGGTTTGGGGAAAATGCAAAAGAAAAAGGTTCAGAATTTAGCATGTTGTTAATTTGTTCTTGTGTAATTGCTAGGAAACGGGTTACTGGGGAAAAGCAGAATGTAACGAAAGTCGCAAGAAATGGCAGAAGAAAGTAATGATGCATGGTGAAGCAGATGCAGAACCTGTTCCATATACTCAAAGTCTCATTCTGAATTTGAACTTTGTGTGTCAAAATCATGTCCAAAACCATTAATCAATTTTATATTTGTTACAAACATTACATAATAAATTCTAGTGTGTATTCATTCTTAAGAGATGATGATGAGTTTGAGCTTGCTGATAAAAATGGTGGATGAAATTTTTCATACACACAAATATTGTCTTCTCTATTTTCTTCTTTTACTGGGTTCTGTTTTCAAATGCAATTATATTTGAATTGTTCTTATTCTAAATAATTTAATTTTTTTATTACGATAGTTTAAATTTTATTAGTATTTTAATCTCCATCGAATAAGTATATAACATTATTGATGAATACCTATGCAAAAATCACAAAATAACCATTACAAACTTAATTAAAAAAAATGTTTAACATTCACGAAAAAATATTCACAACTATAAATAGTCCTAATGTGCATCAAAAGATAAATAATTTCAATAATATTAATCAAAAAAGATTTCGTAAAAATTTTAAGTTACATTCATTAAAAAATGATTATGCAAATATTAGTTGAGAAAATGATTATTTATAATTATCAAGAATTAATTCTAACTTATAATTTGATTTAGGTTAGTGAAAAATAATCTCAACCATTATCAAATTAATCCTAATAATTGATAATAATTAAAAAAATTCTGTTTAACATTAACTTAAAATCATAATTTATGTTGACATTGAATAATATTAATAAAAAAACTTGACGATAAAGATAAAAAATAATTATGATCAAATTTTAATATAAAATAAACCTTGTTAAATATCAAATCAATAATGTCTTAATCTCAAATCCTAACAAAACTTGTCTTGACAGATGTTGACTCGATAAAAAAATGAAAAAAAATATAAATTCATGAAAAATAAGATATAAAATTCTTATTTCAAATATTAGGGTTCAATTTTTTTCTAATTTTTTTATTCAAGAAATTATTTAAAATATTCAATAAAAAATAATTACTCATTGCAAATTTCTCATTCAAACACATATTAAAGATATTTAATTATATTTTGTTTTAAAATCAGTCCAAATCATGACACGGGCACCTACGTCAGCATTCATCAGGTTTTGCGGTCATCAGCACGATTCAGATTTTCTGGAAAACGACGTCGTCCCCAACACCCCATGTGCTTTTTTTCCTTCATTTTCGTGGGTTTCCGTTTCTCCCATGAAACACGACGTTGATTTTGTTTCCCACAACACAAACTTTAATATTAGAAGAGAGAAATACAAATAACAGACAATGATTTAATTTAAATTTTATAAGATTGTAAAGATTTTCGATGATGTCATCTTTCTTTAGATTTTTAAACATGATAATGAAATTATTGACTTTTATAACAACTATATTTGTATTTGATAAAGATATACAGATTCGGTTATTGTTAGTTTTCATGGATATGATTTTTTGTTTTATCTGTTATAGCTTGATCTTATATATTTAAGTTTTTCCTTTGTAATAAAGTAGTGTAGTGTTTCCATATATATGAATATATCTTCTCTTTCTATACACTAACATGGTATCAGTGTAATCCCGCTCCACGCTTCTCCTTCTTTTTTCTTTTCATGGCGTCTCTATCTTTTTCTTCTTCTGATCATCTTACTAACCCTGCCAACCCTCTCTTTCTTCATCCTGGAGAAAACCCTCTTGTTATTCTTGTTTCTCCACCTCTTAACGAAAATAACTACCAGCAGTGGAAACATGACTTTCTTGTTTCTCTTAAAACCAAGAATAAGGAGAAATTTGTTCTTGGCACTCTACCCTGTCCACCAGAAAATGATCCTCTCCGTGAAGCTTGGAGACGCTGTAACAAGATGGTAATAGCTTGGCTCACTCATTCAATGACCAGTGAAATCAAGCAATCCATCATGTGGATGGATAATGCCGCTGACATTTGGAAAGATCTTCTCCAACGTTTTTCTCATAATGACAAGTTTCGTATTGCTGACCTCCAAGAAGATCTTCAAACCAGTAGACAAGGTGATTCTACTGTTTCCCAGTACTACACTCGTTTGCAAATTCTCTGGAAAGAGCTTTCTTTGTATAGGATTGCTTTGGTTTGCAATTGTGTCTCCTCCTACACCTGTGGTTTAATTACTAGAATCCAAAAAGAACATGATGATGATTGTGTGATTAAATTTCTTCGTGGGCTTAATGATGAGTACTCTCAAGTTAGAACTCAAATAATGCTTATGGAACCTTTGCCGAATTTGCTCAAGGTTTTTTCTTTAGTTTTGCAACAAGAACGGGAATTCACTGGTTCTTTTTCTGTCTCATCTCAAGATTCTGTAGCCAATGCTATTTTTCAAGAAACCTCTAATAAATCTTCTCGTGGAGGTAATTCTAATTCTCGTGGTCGGGGAAGTTTCAGCAAAACTGGTGGACGCAGTGCAAAATTTTGTGATCATTGTCAAAGGACTAATCATACTTCAGAAAACTGTTGGATCAAACATGGGCTTCCTCAAGGTTATCACCAAAACAAAACTAAATCTAATCCTCCAAAATCGTCTGCTTGCATGGTTGATACTATGCCTACCACCATGATGGATGTTTCTGCCACCAAGAATGAGCAAACTAATGTTCAACATGGTTTCTCCAAATCACAATATGATGCACTTCTTGCTTTAATTCAACCGTCACAACAAGCGTCTTCTAACTCTGCTGTTGTTCACCAGTGCACCATACAATCCATAGGTTCTTTCATCCCCTCTACCTCTTGGATTTTAGATAGTGGTGTCACTGACCACATTTCTCCTTTTAAATCTTCTTTTCAAAATTTTAAACATATTCCTCCTGTCTCTATTTGCCTACCAGATAAACATTCTGTCACAGCCAATTTTTCAGGAACAATAATCTTGGGCAATATTATTCTTCATGATACCCTTTTTGTTCCCAATTTTAGTGTTCAGATACTTTCCATATCTAAGTTAATTAGCTCTTCTAACTATCTTGTTACTTTCTATCAAAATCGTTGCTTAATCTTGCAGAGCAATACCTTTCGGATGATTAGAGTAGCTGAAAAGTATAAAGGCTTGTTTTATCTTACTAACAGTTGCAATTTGAGTTTATCAAAAGCAAGTGATTCTTTGCAGCATTCTGTTTTCATTAATAATACTCAATCTTGTAATCTGTGGCACATGAAACTTGGTCATCTATCTAATAAAATTCTACAAATTCTTGCTTCTCAAAATCCTATTTTTTCTTTCTCTCCTATTACTGTCTGTGATGCTTGTGCTTTTGCAAAACAAAGACGTTTACAGTATTATCCTAGCCCAACCAAATCTACTCATTTCTTTGATTTAATCCACGTTGATATTTGGGGTCCCCTTTCTATCATTTCTATTGAAGGATACAAGTATTTTTTAACTATAGTAGATGACTATAGTCAGTTCACTTGGATTCTTCTTCTTAAAACCAAAACTGACGTGAGAAATTTATTTCAAAACTTCATTATTTTAACTGAAAACCAATTCTCTTGCAAGTTAAAAAGAGTACGATCAGATAATGGCAAAGAATTTTTTTCTCAATGACTTTTATGGCTCTAAAGGAATACTTCATGAAACTTCATGTGTTGCAACCCCACAACAAAATGGAATTGTTGAGAGGAAGCATCAACATCTTTTAAATGTTTGTAGAGCTCTTCTCTTTCAAGCACAAATGCCTAACATATTCTGGTCATATTCTCTTAAACTTGCTGTGCATATCATCAATCGGTTACCCACACCTTTTTTGCAAAATAAATCACCATATCAACTTGTCTATTCTGTAAAACCTGATTTTTCAAACCTCAAAGTTTTTGGTTGCCTATCATATGCTAGTACTCTTGCTGCAGGAAGAAATAAATTAGATTCAAGAAGTCTAAAATGTGTTTTTCTTGGTTTCAAACCTGGTACTAAAGGGTATGTTCTGTATGACATCCATTCAAAATCTATTGTTGTCTCCCGTAATGTCATTTTTCATGAAACCATTTTTCCCTTTTCTACCCGATCACTATCTTCTAATTCTTCTACCTCTGATACTGATTTTTCTTCTCAAAGCAATGATTTGTTTGATTTTATTTTGCCAATTTCATCTACCACAGTTACTAAAAATAATACAGATTGCACACTTGCTCTTGATGGTTCTCAAATTCAAGCTAATGATAATTCTCAAGTCCTTGCTCCTATTAACAGGACTTCAAATCGTGTTAAAAACAAGCTCAAATACTTAGATAGTTACTACTGTGGTTCTGCTTCCACTGTTCACTCACCTTTCTCAACTCCATATCCTATATCTCAATTTCTTTCATATGATAAATGTTCGTCTAATCATGTTCTTTTTTGTCACAACATATCTGCCCAAGATGAACCTTCTTCCTACAAAGAAGCCGCTCAAAGTAACTGTTGGAAAGAGGCAATGGTTGCTGAAATAGATGCTCTCAACAGAAACCAAACTTGGACATTAGTTTCTCTTCCTCCTGGCAAAAATACTATTGGTTGCAGATGGGTTTATAGAATCAAACATAAAGCAGATGGCTCGGTTGATAGATTCAAAGCTCGTTTGGTTGCCAAAGGGTTTACCCAAACCGAAGGAATTGACTATTTCGAAACTTTTTCTCCTGTTGTAAAGCTTACCACCGTCAGAATTGTTCTTGCTCTAGCCACTGCTTCTCATTGGTTCATCCATCAATTGGATGTTGATAATGCCTTTCTTCATGGTGAGTTGGATGAAGAAATCTACATGAAGCCTCCACCTCGCCTATCTCTTCCTCATCCAAAGCTTGTTTGTAAGCTTAATAAGTCTCTTTATGGACTTAAACAGGCCAACATAAACTGGAACAACAAGCTTACTTCTGAGCTTCTTTTTCTTGGTTACTCTCAAAGTGTTGCAGATTACTCTCTCTTTGTTAAGTCCTCTGGTTCTGCTATCACAGTTCTTCTCGTTTATGTTGATGATGTTGTACTCACTGGCAATGACTTATCCGAAATTCAAAAGGTTAAAAACCATCTTCATGCTAAATATCATATTAAAGACCTTGGCCCTCTTAAATACTTTCTGGACTCGGAAGTTGTTCGAACACCAAATGGATTGATTTTAAATCAACGCAAATATTGCTTGGACCTTATATCTGAAACAGGTCTTCTTGGTTGCAAACCTGCGCCTACACCTGTTGATCCTGCCATCAAATTACATGCTGATGAAGGAGTGTTACTGTCTGATCCCTCATCTTATCGCAGACTCATTGGTAGACTTTTATATTTGACCCACACAGGGCCTGATATTTGTTTCGTTGTTCAACAACTCAGCCAATTCATTTCTTCCCCACGGGAACCTCACATGCAACAAGCTTTAAGAATTATTCATTATTTGAAAAATGCTCCAAGATATGGTCTGTTATATCAGTTCAATACCACTCTTAAAGTTCAAGCTTTTTCTGATTCAGACTGGGCCACATGTGCCACTACTCGTCGTTCAGTTTCTGGGTCTTGTATCTTCTTAGGTGCATCTCTAATTTCTTGGAAATCCAAGAAACAGACCATTGTCTCACGGTCCTCAACAGAAGCAGAATACCGTTCACTAGCCTCTTTGACTTGTGAACTCCAGTGGCTCCAATACATCTTCCAAGATCTGCATTTTTCCATTCCCACCCCTTATGCTACTTTTTGTGATAACAATTCTGCCATCCAAATAGCTAAAAATCCTACTTTCCATGAGAGAACTAAACACCTTGAAATAGATTGTCATCTTATACGACAAAAACTCCTTGATGGTCTTATTTATCTTCTTCACATTCCTTCAGCCCATCAACTTGCAGATGTCTTCACTAAGTCTCTTCATCCTGCACCTTTCCAGCATGCCATTTCCAAGCTTGGCCTTCACAACGCTTATGCCCAGCTTAAGGGAGAATGATAAAGATATACAATATATCTTTTTCTGTTATTTTCGGTTATTGTTAGTTTTCATGGATATGATTTTTTGTTTTAACTGTTATAGCTTGATCTTATATATTCAAGCTTCTCCTTTGTAATAAAGTAGTGTAGTGTTTCCATATATATGAATATATCTTCTCTTTCTATACACTAACAGTATTAACTGGTTTATATACATTTTATAACCTTTATAATAATTAAATTTTGCTCTTAAGATTTAAGAGCAAACATGAATTCTGTTGAGTTTTAAGTCAAAATGCATGGGGCATGGTTACGTGCATGGGGCATGCATGGTTACGTGCATGAGTTTACTTTCTGTTTTTTTTC